GAAAGCAGGATTTTCTGCTTGCATTCGTTTCAGATAGTCTAACACATGCTGACCCCCACCCCCGAGGGTCCTCTGTCTGACGCCACTCATGTAACTTCAAAATTCAACTGTAGCCAATAAGAAAAAAGTAAGAAATGGTTCCACCAAAGTCCATTATTAAATACGGAAGGTAACTTACACAAATCAGGGTTCAAACTATAACTAAAACATCATATGCTGCTATCATCTCTACACTTTCACTAGAATTATATGCTCCTCCTCCTCCTCCTGGTCATCATGACCAGATTCATCCTAATTGCGAAAATTTTCCCTAATTGTTAACATTGCAAATTCTTTTCAGACCAGCAAGGCCTTCCTACATGCAATAGAAATTTATTGCAGATTCATGGCACTTCCTACATGCAATAAAGCTACAGATTTTCTTGTAACAATTTTAAGTATTCAAACTAGTTTTTAACTGTGATTGCACGAGGTATGGTCTGGAAATTGGATATATATGAAATCAACCATTGTTTTGTCAGAATAACACCCATTTAAGCTAATCTTAAGCATGCTTTTATCAGAAGTCACCAAACCTCAAACCACAGAAAACAATTCCCAAATTTGTAGCCTCCCTAAAGCAACATCATCAACATTACAGTAACTTTTTTTAAAAAAAAAAAGAAAAAAAGATTTACTACATGACACCCATAAGCTATGAGAACCCAAAATATTGCACATAGAGAAATTCAGGAAAATGGAGTACAAAAATTACAGCACATAAATTTCATACAAAAACCTAATCAATTTGCACAAGCAAAAAAAGGGGTGGTTAAGAAAAATACCTTGTTTGTTGTAGTTGAGTCTGTTTGAGATAGAAGCTTGAGGGAAGTTGAAGCTTGAGAAGAGAAGAAACAGAGGAAACAGTAAGTTTGGTAACAAGAGAGAATTGGGTATTGAAGAAGAAAGGGATTTAAGCCTTTCAGGCAGCTGAAAGCCAGCAACTGACTGGGCGGCCACACCCAATACTTCCATATTTGAACCAGTTGCTGGGTTTCATCAAAATGCAAGGAATCTGGAAAAAACATACTAAATTGAACCAAAATTATATGTAAACTGGGTAAAGGAAGAAAGACTCACCCAAAACTGCAAACAAGCTCTGCAACACGAAATAGTGGTCTTCGTCAAACTCAAAGACTGGCCCGGTCGCTGTCTCCCTCTGGTGATAAGAGTGATAGAAAGACCCAAGCAGACGCTTCTCAAAGCCCTTTTGATTATTTCGAAGAAAAGCAAACGACTTTCAAACCAAAACCCGATTTTTAGCTTTAGTGGTATTGAGTGGAATTTTTTTTTACAGGAAATAGGGTTTCAAAAATCTGATTTTTGAAATTCAGAGAATGAAATTCCATTATATAATCTCAGCTAA